CCTGATTTACAATTTTTGCATGGATAAAATGACCTCTCCTCCTCCTCCTCCTCCTTCTCTCCTCCTCCTTCTCTCCTCCACCTGTGTCCTCCTCCTCCGTTCAGGTCCTCCTCCTCCACCTGTCTCCCTCTCCTCTCCACCAGTCCTCCTCCTCCTCCTCCGACCTGTGTCCTCCTCCTCCACCCAGGTTCCCTCCTCCCACCACCCAGGGGTTCCACCACTGTGCCTTCCCACCCACCCCAGGCCCTCCACCCACCTGTGTCTTCCTCCACCACCAGGCTCCTCCTCCCACCACCTGTGTCTCTACCTCCTCCTCCTCCTCCCTCCCTCCTCCTCGTCCTTCTCCTCCTCCTTTCCCTCCACCTGTGTCCTCCCTCCTCCTTTCTCCTTCAATTCTGTGTCCTCCTCCACCCAGGTCTTCCTCCACCACCTGTGTTTCCATCTTCCACCACCTGTGTCTTCCTCCACCACCAGCTCTCCTCCACCTGCTCCACCACCCAGGCTCCTCCCACACCAGGTCCTCCTCCTCCTCCTCCTCCTCCTTCTCCTCCTTCTCCTCCTCCACCCAGCTGTCCTCCTCCTCCTTCTCCTCCACCTGCAGTCCTCCAGACTCTGTCTCTCCACCCAGGCCCACTCCAGACCACCTGTGTCTCTAATCAGGCCTCTCTCCCACCATCCAGCTCCTTCCTCCACCCACCAAAGCTCACTCCACCCACCCAGGCTCTCCCTCCACCACCCAGGCTCCTCTCACCTCCTCCCTCCCTCCCTCCCTCCTCCTTCTCATCCCTTCCTTCTCCTCTGTTCAGGTCCTCCACCACCTGGGTGGGTCCTCCTCCTCCTCCTTTCTCCTCCCTCAACCTGCAGCCCTCTCCCTCCTTCCTCCCTCCTCCACCTGTGTCCTCCCTCTCCACCTGTGGCCTCCTCCTCCACCAGCCCCTCTCCTCCACTCAGGTCCTCCTCCTCCTCCTCCTCCTCCTCCTCCTCCAGACCTGTGTTTCTCCTCCACCCAGGTCCTCCTCCACTCCAGTCCCTCCTCCTCCTCCTCTCCCTCCTCCAGCACTGCAGGTCCTCCTCTCCACCCAGGCTCCTCCTCCCTATCCTCCTCCTCCCCACCTGTGTCCTCCTCCACCTGTGTCCTTCCAATTCTCCCTCCTCTCCTCTCCTCCCTCCAGTCCTCCACCCAGGTCCTCCTCCTCCTCCACCCAGTCCCTCCTCCTCCTCCACCCTCCTCCTCCTCCTCCTCCTCCTCCCTTGACCTGTCCCACCCTGTGTCCTCCTCTTCCTCCTGCTCCTCCTGTCCTCTCCGTTCCTGCCTCCTCCTCCTCCTCCTCCTCCTCCTGCCTCCACTTGTATTCTCCTCCACCTGTGTCCCTCCTCCTTCTTCTCCGTGTGTGTCCTCCTCCTCCTCCTCCTCCACCTGTCCTCCTCCTCCTCCTGTGCTCCTCCCTCCCTCCTCCTGTTCCTCCTCCTCCACCTGTGTCCTCCTCCTCCACCTCCTCCTCCTCCCTCTCTCCACCTGTGTCCTCCTCCTCCACCTGTCCTCCGTCCTCATCCTCCTCCACCTGTGTCCTCCTCCTCCACCTGTGTCCCTCCTCCTCCCTCCCTCCTCCCTCCACCTGTGTCCTCCTCCCTCCCACCTGTGTCCTCCTCCTCCTCCTTCCTCCTCTCTCCTCCCAGTCCACCTGTGTCCTCTCTCTCTCGGTTTTCTCCACTGTGTCTCCTCTTCCTTTCTCCCTGGGGTTCTTCCTCCTGTGTGTCTTCTTCACTACTTCGTTTCCATTTTCCACTTCTGTGTTCTTCTCCATTTTCCGGGTTTTCGGCACCTTGGTTTTCTACCCTCGTTTTCTCTTGCATTTCTCTCTCTTCCTTTCCTTCCTCTCTCCTCCACCCAGGTCCTCCTCCACCTGTGTCCGGTGGTTTGTTTTTGGTTTTTTTTTTCCTCCTTCCACCTGTGTCCTCCCTCCTCCGGTCCTGCCGCTCCTCCACCTGTGTCCTGCCCTCCTGTGTCCTACTCCTCCACCTATGTCCTCCTCTCCTCCTGTGTCCCTCCTCTCCTCCTGTGGCTCTTCCCATCATCTGTGTCCCATTCTTCCTGACTCTGGTCCTCTCCTCCTTCGTCCCTCCTCCTCCTTCGTCCTCCTTCTCCTCCTGGTCTCTTCTCCAGCCTGTGGTGTCCTACCCTCCTCCGGTCCTCTCCTCCGTCCTTCCGTCCTCTCCTCCACCTGTGTCCTCCTCCTCCACCTGTGTCCTTCCTCCACCTGTGTCCTACTCCTCCACCTGTGTCCCTACCTCCTTTCCTCCACCTGTGTCCTCCTCCTCCCACCTGTGTCCTCCCTCCTCCTCCTCCCTCCTCCCTCCTCCCCAGTCCCTCTCTTGGCCTCCTCCTTCCCTCCTCCTCTCCTCCTCCTCCTCCACCTGTGTCCCTCCTCCTCCACCTCCGCCTCCTCCTCCCTCCCCCTCCTCCTCCTCCTTCTCCACCTGTGTCCTCCTCCTCCACCTGTGTCCTCCTTCCTCCACCTGTGTCCTCCTCCTCCCTCCTCTCCTGTGTCCTCCTCTCTCCCTCCACCCAGTGTCCTCCTCCTCCTCCCTCCTCCTCTCTCCTCCTCCTCCCTCCACCCTGGTCCCTCCCTCCACCTCCTCCTCCCTCCTCCTCCTCCTCCTCCCTGGTCCTCCCTCCCACCTGGTCCTCCTCCTCCTCCTCCTCCTCCTCCTCCTCCTCCTCCTCCTCACCTGTGTCCTCCTCCTCCACCCAGGTCCTCCTCCTCCTCCCACCTGTGGTCCTCCTCCTCCTCCTCCTCCTCCTCCACCCAGTCCTCCTCCTCCACCTGTGTCCCTCTCCTCCTCCTCCTCCTCCTCCTCCTCACCTCTCTCCTCCACCTGGTCCTCCTCCTCCCTCTCCCTCTCCTCCTCCACCTGTGTCCTCCTCCTCCTCCTCCACCTGTGTCCTCCTCCACCCTGGTGTCCTCCTCCTCCTCCTCCCTCCTCCCTCCACCTGTGTCCTCCTCCTCCAACTCGTGTGTCCTCCTCCTTCTCCTTCCCTCACCCAGGGTCCCTCCTCCTCCACCTGTCCCTCCTCCTCCTCCTCCTTCTCCTCCCTCCACCTGTGTCCTCCTCCTCCACCTGTGTCTCTCCTCCCACCTGTGTCTCTCCACCACCTGGCTCCTCCACCTGTGTCTCTTCCCACCACCTGTGTCTTCCTCCACCACCTGTGTCTTCCTCCACCTCCTCCCTCCTCCTCCTCCTCCCTCCTCCTCCTCTCCACCTGGTCCTCCTCCTCCACCTGTGTCCCACTCCTCCACCAGGTCACCTTCCAGCTGTGTCCTCCTCCACCTGTGTCCTCCTCCTGACCACCCTGTGTCCTCCTCCCTCCTCCTCCTCCTTCTCCTCCTCCTCCTCCACCCCGTCCTCCCTCCTCCACCTCCACCCAGTGTCCCACTCCTCCACCTGTGTCCTCCTCCTCCACCAGGTCCTCCTTCACCACCTGGTCCCATCTGCAGGTTCTCTCTCTCCACCACCTTGGTCCCACTCCTCCACCTGTGTCCACCTCCACCTGTGTCCCACTCTCCACCTGTGTCCTCCTCCTCCACCCGTGTCCCTCCTCCCCTCCTGTTCATCCTCCACCTGTGTCCTACTCCTCCTCCTGGTTCCCTCCTCCACTCTCCTCCACCTGTGTCCTCCTCCTCCACCTGTGTCCTTCCTCCTCCACCTGGGGTCCTCCCTCCTCCCTCCACCTGTGTCCTACTCCTCCTTCTCCCTCCACCTGTGTCCTCCTCCTCCACCTGTGTCCCTCTCCTTCTCTGCCTCCACCTGTGCCCTCCACCTGTGTCTCCTCCATCCTATATACTAAGCCTTCCATCCCTCCGTTCTTCCATCCATCCCATTATCCTTCACCCTACATCC